AGTTCTTTTGTGTTTTACTGCTGCAGAGTGCTCAATGGTGCGGTGATAATTACTTCATTTGACCTGCCAGCTTGTTAGAGCGCGAAGGATTGGCAACAAACGTTTATGGGAACCAAGGTAAGAAATTTTCTTTGTCCTTGCTGCACTGCAGTTTGGGGATTTCGGATTGTTAGATCTGCTGAGACACTCGTTGCTTGATCTTAGTGAACGATACGAGCGTGAATGTATAGCTTTAGAGAATAACATTTTCCGGGCAGCTAATCAGTTCGGAAGTTGTGGGGTATCTGCGAGGAAATTTAAGTGCGTTTTAAGCATCTCAAAACTAAGCTATGAATTGCTGAAAACACTGACTGGGCACAGTTTCAAAAATTGAAGCTTTGGGATTCAAAATGAAGCAATTTTGGGGAAATTTTTGATGAGTGCGAAGTGGGGTGGGGGGGTCGGTCGGTCGGTGATGTCGGGTCATTACCTCCGGAAGTTGATGACTTCTTAATAAAATACTTAATAAAATAGCAGTAGGTGCCGAAAATTTTGCATCTCATCCGGCGGACCATTTGCAGCTATGTTTCAAAATTTACTCTGTCTCCCCCCCCCCCCCCCCCCCCTCCCCCTACTCGGGGTAAATTCAAAAACCTACCCGCGTCCAGCGTTGCCTCTGATCCATTCGAGTAAGATTTGGAACACAGCCTGCAATGCATGATTTCTTTTCGAGATACGAAAGACACTTATTTTTTTCACGTACCCATTTACACTTAAAGCATTTTTCAAGTGCACTGGCCAGCTTTACAGAGATGCCTTTGATTTGACTGTTTTTTCTCTTTATAGCAGAGAATGTCTCACAGGCTCATAGGATGCAAATGCAAATTTAGCCCAGTCTCGGCAAAAGCTTCATCTCCTAATTTTGACCAGTGTTTCAGTCACCCAGGGATGTTTGCCTTTTAATGCAAGGCCTGCAGGTTTATACCACTGCAACTAATTTCTTTGCAGCGAAAACAAAATGTTTAGTTTGTTTCTACGCTTGATTTAAACATTCATAGTCTCATAAGGTCATTTAATGCATATTTATCCTTTATTTTAGGGAAGCTGCAGCTGCTATCCTGGAAGAAAACGACGATGCCTGGAAGCAAGAAACCATTTCTAATAAGTTAAATAAAGACTGTCGTGATTATCTACCTTTAGATCTAGTTGCAACTTTTTCTAGTTTGGAATATCCAAACACTAACAGTTGTCCCAATTCGTATCTGTCAATATGATTTGAACAGTTGGACCAATAGGTTTTTTCCTATTGGGAGTCCGAAAACAGAAAAAGGTTTTTCCAATTGGTTGCATCCTATTGACAATGCCGAACTGGTTCGAATTGGTGATGTTCAATTAGATTTCGACAATTGGAACCAATCAACTTTTTCTAACTAGGAGTCCGAAATCACAGATAGGATTCCCCATTGGTTCTAATTGTCGATAACTAATTAGAACCAATTGACTTTTTCTAACTAGGAGTCCGAAATCACAGATAGGATTCCCCATTGGTTCTAATTGTCGACAACTAATTGGAACCAATTGACTTTTTCTAACTAGGAGTCCGAAATCACAGATAGGATTCCCCATTGGTTCTAATTGTCAATAACTAATTGAACCCAATGGTTATTTTTAACTGGGAGTGTTTACTAACGAGTGCTTGGACTCCGTCCCCACTCTCCCTGAAGAGCTTTACGAGCGCATGCATCATATTAACGTTAACTCCGCCGGTATTATAACATTGATTGATAAACTAAAACTTACTTCGTCCGCTGGAACCGATAACATCAACTCTAAAATTTAAAAGAAACACCAGTGTTATTTCGAGTGAGTATTTAAAACTTATCTTTATTCAGTCCTTATCTCAAAGGTGCCTTCCATCTGACCAAAAGGTGGGAAGGGTAATTCCCAGTCTTTAAACAGGGCAGCCGCTCTTCCGCATCTAATTATCGCCCTAATTCATTGACTTCAATTTCTTGCAAACTACTTGAGCATATCCTCTACTCCAATATCATGAGGCACCTATCATCCCATTTCTTTTCTTTAAACAGCAGCCCGGTTTTCAAAAAGGTACAGTACTTTCCTGCGAAACACAACTCTGCGACTTCATCCATGACTTGCACACTAACCGTGAACCTTAAAATAAAAAAACTGACGCAGTTTTTTTTTTTTTTTTTTTTTCAAAGCGTTTGGTTGTGTTTTTTATCAACGCCTTCTTTCTAAGCTATCATCTTTTTGCCTCGACCAAATAACCGTTTGCATAGATTCGTGACTTTCTTTTTTCCCGTGTACAGGTCACGTCCATGATGATCATGAATCTTCCTTAATAAATGTATCTCCTGGTGTTCCCCTGGGGTTCGTACTTGGGCCCCTACTCTTTTTAATATTTATTAATGACATCCCCATTGGGATTTCTTCAAAAAACCGCTTTTTCGCCGACGACTGCGTCATCCATAACAAAGTAACTTGTGTGCAAAATAATAACCAGCTTCAGGAAGATCTAGAGAAAATTAACAATTGGTGCAAAGAGTGGATTATGTCATTAAACAAGTATAAACGCAAACTAATCCACTTCACCAAGAAAAAAAACAAACACTGTCATTTAATTACTTCTTGTACTCCGATCTGATTGAGACCGCTACTGTGTATAAATACCTTGGTGTAAGACTAACATCTGACCTCCCCTAAAATAACCACATTGAAGTCATTACTGCCGATTCATCTGGAACTCTTGGACTAAGCAGACGTAACTTAAAAAGGGCTCCACCCTTTGTTCGTAAGCTAACCTTGGACACGTACGTCAGACCAAAAATAGAATATGCTTCAACCATCTGGACTACCCATCGACTGTACCTCATCAATACCCTGTAGAGGCAGTTCAGAACAGAGCTGCTCGCTTCATTTCATCCACTTATGACTTTTTTTTTTTCAGTGTCTCAGCGCTAAAAACTGAACTAACCATGTCCTCTTTGCAGCTTCGCAGAAAAGTCTCTCAGCTGTGCTTTATTCACAAAATCTACTACCACATTCCCGACCTCAAAACCACTTTGTTATTACCCCCCGACCGAACATCTTCTCGCCTCAACAACGTCTGCACCATCAAGCACATTTCTGACTCTACTAACGCTTTAAAATTGGTCATTCCTTTCTCAAGCCATCAGCCACTGGAACAGTCCCCCATCCTCCATTGTCACCATCTTGGACCCTGCTGATTTCTCCTCTGCAGTAAAACTACACCTTTCTTGGTCCATGTGATGGTGTGCGGGGCTAGGCAGATAGGTGAAAACCCTTACGCAGAGCGCCTGCCGGGCCAGACTTGTACGTAGTTCAACTACTTTACTCAAGTTACTGTAGTTTAACTACTTTTCTGGGTAGTTTAGTAGCTTTTAATTACATTTATATTCTAGTAATTCGTAGTTTACTTTAACTACTTTTCCGAGTGACTTCCACTCAAATTACAAATTACTTTCTAATTTTAGTGGTTGTTTTGCCTATCAACACAGAAAAGATGTCGGAAGGTCAGCTGATATTTGCAGAGGGGGAAGCATGCGGAGTAGAAAAGGGGGGGATGGGAAAGAAGAAAGTGATTTAGATAGTCCAAAAAACCCCACAATTTTAACGAGCCCCCCCACTGCAACAACACTGCTACGAGGCGCGGGGAGCGAACAGACACGACGCAAGAGAGGTCGAGTAACTGTGGGATTAGCTCCGAATAGTGGCGTTTCTTTGTATTCCGAAGCTCAAGGAGACTTGACGCATTTGAAGAAAGGGCTTGTCCCCGCTTCTCTCCAATGTAGGAATTCTTGCCCACTACAGGAGGTGCACACACTGCTCCTTTTACGGTGCAGGCGATAGAACCCCTAACAACGACGCTCACGCAGGATGGGCTGCTCGTGTATCACTCGAAGCGCGTTAACCCACCCCCGCGCCTGCGTTTGCGCCGCTTCGCGGTGACGGTGTGCGGCTGCTAATTACAAATCTATTAACCCACCTAGCCCCCCCACCCCCCGTACACGCCGCTTTGCGGCGTCCGGTCGGCAACCCAAGCCCCGCTGCCCCCCATGCACTTCCGTAAATAGAGTCGATACGATTTAGTTTAGCGATGTTTCGTCAACAACATTCGTTTTTTTAGTGTTAATGGTAAAAAAGAAATGTAAATATCGCCAAATGCCTCGACAAAACAAAATGTTCGAGAAAAAAAATAAAAAGAAGTAAGCCGGCCCACACCATAAATAGAACCCGGGTCTGACACGTATGAGGCAGACATCTCACCACTAAGTTACGCTACCTCTTCGGAAACTCGCATTGCATCCGCTGCCTATGTTGACGGCGGCAGCGCCTATCTCCAAGCAAGCAAGCAAAACTTTATTTTGTGTAAGGGCCTACGTCCTGGTCTGGACGGCCCGTCCGGCCCATGTCTCGCGGATGGATTCCGTTAGGTTACCGTGTAGCCTTGTTCGTGGGGCAAGGCTCCACAAACCAGCCAATCCGGCGTGCGTGAGCACCGTTGCTAGGGTTTGTATCGCCTGCGCGTTAAAAATATGCCCGCGCGGGTCGGGGGGCAGTGCCCTTGGTATTCCTTGGGCGCCGCCGGCCTGTGTCTGCTCTGCCCAGTGGCGGCCGTTTCAGGGGGGGCAAAACGCATGCCTTGCCCCCCCACTCTGAGAACTGGGGGGGCAAGTGCCCCCCTTGCCCCCCCGGTTGGTACGCCCATGTCCATAATGTTAGGATGATGCTGTTGGCAGCAGAGAGGACAAGCTGATAGAACACACAAAGGATTTACGACGGCTGGGCCAGCACATGGGGCCTGGGGCAAGACAATTGTGCGTGCCACTGTCCTGTCATCTTCACCTTCCTAACGATATAATATCTCTTTATTGCTTTTATAAAATCTTTTGCATCTCTGAGTGCTTTCTAGCACATGTTTTTCATTTCGTTTTTGTTGCAGTCTCATAAATTGTGGATGAAATGCTTTTCCATTCCAGGATGCCCCTCGGCACAGCTACTATGCTGTCTTTGATGGCCACGCCGGCTTGGAGGCTGCCAACTACGCCACAGCACACCTGCACCGCAATATTGTGGTGCAGCCGGACTTCCTGAGTGATCCAGTCCACGCCATCCAAGAGGGATTTGCTGCGACTGATCGCAACTTCCTCCAGAGGTCCTCAAAGGAGGTGATTCAGTGCACACTACTTACTCGCTGCTGTCAGAATCGATACATCTGTTAAACAAAGGAATCTCAGTTAACCCAGTAGATTCCTGCTAATGGTAATTAGTAAATAATTTGAAAGTTCTAGAACCCATTTAGAAATCACTGCAGAAACCCCCAAGTTCAATGTATATCTGTGTCCAAGGTTATTTCAGAAATGTAGAGGAACACCGAACCTGTGGTAAAAATAGACCCTTGAAAAGCACCCCCAAATTTTGAGAAAATAAACCTCGAAAGTGCAGAACCCTATTAGAGGAAAGGGGCGAGCCGGCTGCGTCGCGGCGGTTGCCTATTGTTTGCCACCATTTGGTGGTAGCGAGCCCAGAATCATTGGGAAGCAATGGTGACGAACAGCACAGCGGACAGTGTTTGTCGGGATTACGACGGAGTTAAGGCAGTCACGAATCCGGAAACCTTCATCCTTGGTGCCAATATGACAAAAAGGAAAACTCCTTCACGAATCTGGCCACGTGTACAACATGAGGGGGTCCGTTTCGATGGACAAGTGGATGTTGTGGCGCGCTGTACCCCGCAGATGAAATTGAGCGTGCCCGCAAGAAACGTCGGACATCTAGTGTCGCGTACAAGTTTTTTTTGTTGGCATTGAGTGGACAGCACTAATGATCCAAGTTTATTTATTGCTTTCTGAATCAGCTTAACAACAACCAGGTGATTGTTTTCATGCTGTTCCGCAATTTGCAGCACTATACCTGTAGGCTGACGGAAGGATTGACTGGTTGTAGCTTGGGTGGGCGACCTTATCCCGCTTATTGTTCCCGGTGAAGTGTTTGCTGCCTATTTTAGTTTCCTGTAGGAGTCGATGTTCCATCGGCGCTAGAAAACGTTATTTGCATTATTCGTCAGCAGCTTAAAGCAGAAAGCAAAATTTCAAAGTGAGAAAGTCCGCTTACTTGCATTGATGCACAAGTCATACCTAGGTTGCGCGGCGCTCTGCCTCGTACAACTTTGAAGGGAAGCCGTAAAACATTGTGTGCCATGCGCATTCTTCTACGTACTATTGTAGCCGACCACGCAGCAATTGCAGTGATGTGATTGCTGCGCCACTCCAAGGGACTAACCCTGCTACATCCTGCTACATTTTGCCGAGATAAGGGTAATCTGCGCCAAGCCTGCGCCAAAGGACCAATTTTGTTCGCTTTTTGAAACCAAAACTAAACTGAGTACCATAATTGAGCATCCGTGAGTTAGGTGGCGCAAGCGGCCGCCCGACACCAGAGCCGTATATTGGGGGAGTTCGGCCAGTGGGTGTGGCGACGAAGGCGCCGCAGAGGAGAAAAGTAAATGAAAGGGAGGAGAGTGCCGAAGGAGCGAGAGAGAAAGGAGGGAGCAGAGAAGAGGCGACCGCCATTTTTTTGCAACGCTGTAGGAGACTGGTCGGAGAAAAACACTGCTGAGGCTACGCGTCGTCTGCTACGGGCCGACTTCTTTTTCGCCTGAATAAAAGTTTGTGGCCATACGCCGAAAAATCTTCATTTATTAGCTTTTTAAGCCACCGAGGAATAACAGTGTCGTTTTCTTGCCGGAGCCAGCGATATAAAAGGAAATAATAGAGATTTAGATGCCGATCCCACGCATTCCGCCGGGAGAATGAACGAAAATGGCGGCCCTCCCCACTCAGCTGGGAGCAGCCAGGAGTTCACGCGCACGCGCTCATGCCTCTCGCTCTGCGCCGCGTGCTGATTAGCTCACTTGGAAGGAGAGCGTTACGGCAACAAGATCATAGACTGACCAAACTCTCCCCATATACGGCTCTGCCCGACACAAAGTACCCTGCATCAATGGTCCATTCGGTCTTGCATGGTTTTTCCCACCGTCTCTCGTTTCGTGCTCTCGTCGTCTCGTAAGTCTGGTCTTGCGTCTTTTTAAAACGTTTTTGGCGATAGACGTGGGCATATGTGGATGCTCCGACAGTAGCGTACCGGGTACCAGGCCAGGTATGCCATCATACTGTGAAACGAAACCGCGTTTTTGCTCGGTGGGAGTTACTTTCTGAGCTGAAGCACTCTCTCCCGAAAACAATGGTTGTTGGAAAACTATATTTGGTCTCTGCCTGCCAGTCACCGTGGTCGCGCAACGTCGGGCGTTGCTGTCCCCATGTCACTGCAGATGTTGCGCTTTCTAAACTAAAATGTAAGGACTGCCGCATGTTCATCAACATTCCTGTTTTTTTTTCAATCATACGCTACCACAAGAATCCCTCTTTAACTCAGTTTGCTGTGTCGAAGTATTGATTACCTAGGTTTCTCTCGGTAAGTTTTTTTTTCGAGAGGGACCCTCGGACATGAAAAATCTCACGCGGAAGAAAGTGGGTAAAGAGAAGTCGGCTAAAACAAAGACGGCAATGTATGCCCGCTGAACCCGCACAGCGCGCTTGTTAGTCTCGAGTTCAGTCATTGCACGAAGCGCCCCAAGAACTTTTTGACCCTGGCTCGCGATGTCTTGCAGCAATGCGCTCGGGTTTTGTTTTTGTGTGTGTTTAGCATGTACCTTGTTTGCCCGCCTTGCAAGCAAGTGCCGCTGGACTTCTTTGTCATGTGCTGGACAGTTACATTTTACATACAGTTTTGGGAACCAGTTGGCAACGGAGCGGAGTAGCATGGGCTCGGTCAAACAGCCATCTCTGCTCACGCGACGAAGCACGTGCAACTGCAAGCCTGCCGAAGTTTCCCTCATGTGCATGCAAATAAGAGTGCACGTCAGAGGCACCAGCCGGGACGATGGCAATCAATTGTTTTATGTTTTGCTTACTTTTGACGAAAATCTGGCACGTCGGGAACCAGTGAAACGGCGTCAAGCGGTTTTTCGGAATCGCTCGGCAACACCTACAGCACTGTACACTTGTCGGATGTCTCAATGTCTCTTTGATGACATTGAAAGTTGACATTCATTACTAGCCGAAGGCAAAGCGAGGCTGGGAGCAGCCTTTCAGAAAGTTCCGAAAAGCGAAAAGAAAAGCACCCGCTAAGACTCGTAATGCACCTTTGTCTTGTGTGTAATTTCGCATTGCTCTGCAGTAGTTAAGTGTTTCATCATCGGAGACTGCTTCCATTTATTATATAACTAGTCAACCTACTGCTGTGATATTTACTACTAAGCTGATCATTTTCTAATAAATTTGAATATTTCAGTTTGGTTCTTGTTTATCTATAGCGAGTACATATATACCGAATGTATAATTTAACTGAAGCACTGCAAAATGTATTGTGTCATTGGCATTTCAGTTACATGTTGAGATTCCCAGGTGGTCTAGCTTGACCGTAATTTGTTTATTGTGGCGAGCAAAGTGCCCTTCGTTTGTCCAGCACTTAAAAACAAATATTTTTATTTTTCTAAGAATATCTGCTCCAAAAGCCACTTTTGCTGCTCCGAAACACTGTTTTGGCTGCTCCAAAAGCCACTTTTACTGCTCCAAAACACTGTTTTGGCTGCTCCAAAGGCCACTTTTGCTCCTCCAGAACACTGTTTTGGCTGCTCCGAAAGGTGCTCCAAAACGAGTTAGGCCAATCACATCACTGCAATTGTGACCTTTTTGGTGCAGAAGAGCCATCTCAAACTACGGCGCTAACCCGCCACTGCTGCTACAACTCGCAACCAATGCAATGACTGCAGAAGCTTCCTGATGAAACCGACAGTTTGCTGCTAGGGGTGCCCTGGTCGGGGCTTGAATTATGTTCGCCTGGTTCCTATTACAGTCGCCGACCGATTTTTTGGACGCGGATAATTTGGATTTGTTGGATATTTCGGACCTAAAGGAGGAAGCATGACCTACCCGATAGAAATAGTGCATATTCATGGCCAATGCCCGGACAGCTTGAAGTCTCAAAGTTAAGTTGTTCGGACAAAATCATCGCGAGCGGTCAGATGGAAGCACCACCAAGAAACGGCCATTTTGGATTTTATGTTGGCTGCACGTGAATTGGCTTGGTTTGGCAGTGCTACTTGAGTACTGCTAAGTACTACCACTAGGTGATGCTGTACGGCTTTTTTTTTGTCTCTAGCTGTGCGTCATTATCATCATTATTGTTACCTTTTTGCTTTCTTCATTCACCTTTGCAGTGGTGGACTTGTGCCTCTCATGTCGATCTTGTGTCGGTGATTCGTGTCTTCGAACTACACTGGGCTTGGACGTCATTGCCCTGTCTGTTCTTTCGATGTCGCTAAGAAGCGCAGAAAGTACTCGACCATAATGCTGGAAAAGGCGGCAGCGATTTTCAAGCTAATGGAAAGTTGCCCAACGCAAACGGAGGCGTAACCTGAAACAAGGTGTGCAGCCGTAAACTGAAGCAAGGCACTATTTATGGCTTTTCCTAAGCCCGCTTAGACTTGATAAAGGAAAGTTTTTAAATCTAATTTTTCAGACTGTCCTGTTATTCAAACATTTGGTCCCTGTGAAGTCCGAAAAATCAGTCGGCTACTGTACCAGGTTGTCCGGTGTAAAGTCACATTTTTCCCCCAGTTTTCCATCGGTGCGTGTATAGGAAGGTGCAACTTTCTAAAAATTTGTGCCGATGGCCTGCTTTTCCGGCGGATTGTGGACAATCCGAAGCATGACAGCATATAGGTCCACGGATGCAGCAGCTCTGTACAGCTGCTAACCTCTGAGAAGAAATGCGCTTATGCAAAGGTGGAACTTCTATACCAATGTTTTCATGAAGACTGCATTGATGCCTCTTGTACAACATTGACTTGTAGACCAGAAAATATGGCAAGTTGGAGGTAAAAAAAACTGTTCATGTCCGCCTGCTTTGGCACAGTATGCTGCTGCAACAATCCTCTCGTGACCTTGAGACTGGCTCCGCAGGGCATGAAGAGCGGATGCACGGCGGTGTGCTGCCTGGTGCGGGAGCAGAGCCACCTCTACGTCGCCTGGCTGGGTGACTCTCAGGCGATGCTGGCACGCAGGGGCGTCGCGCTGCCACTTGTGAATCCCCACAAGCCCGAGAGAGAGGTGAGCCTTTCTCTTGACCGTCGTTTTTATCCACTGTTGATCCGTGATGCTGAGTTTTAGGACGGTGTACATAGAGAAACGGTATCGTCGCCGTGGGCCACTCCAAAACCCTGTTTGGGCTGTGCGTACATGCAGTGGCAATGACACTACTTTGCATCTGCAAAGCTTTTGGGTATGCTATCTTAAACCTCTTCTTGTTTGGAGGTGCTTGCAAGTGATCTGCATCGCTGGTCAGCAAATGGAAAGACTAAGCTTGACGCGAGCATTGAGTATACGTGTTGCAACACATAGGCATCCTACATTCTACCGATGTTGTGAGCAGTGGCGGACTTTTTGTTTATGCATGTAAATAGACTCTTGTCTTGCACGAAGAATGTATAGCTATGTTCACATAATGCACACCTTGACCATCTGTTGTGGAGGACACCGCTTATTGAAACATCAGTTTTGAGAGTTGCACCATGGGCAAGGACTTGCTGAACACTGCGATTACACTTGGAAACAAACGTTCAATAGCTGACATTAATTAATGTATGGAAATTAGCTGAAGTTTGTGGAGCATTCCATGGTTTTAAAGTTCTGTGCTCTACCAAATATTCATACTTGCGGCATCCAAATGGTTTGAATGCTACAATTTTTTTCCAGAATCTTTCGGTGCTTATAGTTACATACTGGTCTGCCTGTTTTTAAAACATAGATTTGCCTTCTAGCGTTATAGGGAGCACCGATCGTAGCAATTGTTAGAAGAAACCACGCTCGCTCAAATTCACAGCAAAGACTGATATCCTTGTCACTTTTTTGGGTCTCGTCTACCGACATAAAGAAAATTGAATTTTCAGGGAATTTCAAAGCGTCTGTGTCACGGTCCGGTGCGGAGCGAGAGGGGAAGCGCACTCGCCGCAGACCGCAACGGGGGTTTGGACGCCCACTATCTCACAGTACGTGGGCTCCAGGGACGGGGGGACAAAGACAAGGCACGTGACAGAGAACTAGAAACATTTAATAAGACTAGTTAGATGGTGACAAAAGGACAAGGATAATACAGACAGTCTCAATCAGGCAGAAGCATACAAGAGAAACTTTATAGCTATGGGCAAGACAGAGAATACACAAGAGGAATGGGAACGATACCACACTTTGGTGCAGTCCGGCACGATGAGACTCGCAGAGGCGTCTGTCGCTTGCAATGGATTCCCTCTCGACGTGGATGCGGTGCGCCAAAGGCGGTGGTCGTTGGCTTTAGTCGCTGTCGCGTCACGGATGGTCGATGCACTGGGGCAGTCCGGCAGAGGAAGGCCGCCCAGAGTAAGAACACAGACGTAGCTGACGTTCAGTGTCCAGACGGGTCTTCCCCTATACCGCGGTGCCCGAGGCTACGCCCGGAGCCGACAGGAAGAGCGGGCTGTGCTCTCGAACCTCCCAAGTCAACAGCCGCGCCGTTTCCCAGTTTCAACTGAATGGTGCTCTTTCCTTATAAAGTAAACAAAACACACCCGCTCCCCTACAATCGCAATACACTCGCACATACACAAAAATAAAATGACCGTCGCAGCGGTGAAGACACTCGTTGCCCCCAGCTCCAAACAAAGTCAATACCAAAACGCTCAACTGGGACATCTAGCAAACTCGTTTCCGAATTCCAAGACGGGCAAAAGCGTCCCTTGAACGGGAGTTGAAGAGTTTAAACATGTCAAGTTAGGGTCCTAGTCGGAACCGGCGAGGTGCAAACTAGCGCCAACCAGGGAGTGTCACACTACCCGTGGCGACCACGTGACCCCGCAGGCAGCCAACGGGGCACCCTTTACAATGCGAGTGGCCTGGCAGGACCAGGCCGGTTTTTGTGACAGTCTGGAAAAGTCTGGGAATTGTTGGGGAAATTGTTAGCAAATTGGTTAAGTCAAGGAAATTGACTGGCATGGGCGGCGCAGTGACATGCAGCGACTCGGGAGGGTGTGGCGTGTGGTGGAGTGGATGGCCTTTGTGCCAAGGGACTGTCGCCTGTGCCATCATTATGCAGCGTATATGCCACCACCCGGTTCATCGGATTCAACAGAAGCAGCTTGAACAACCCCTGCAACTCTGACCTCCACATTTTCTTATTTTGTAATGGTCGGAGAATTTAATTGAGCAAAAATATTTGGGGAAAACCTGGAAAAGTTGAGGAATTTAGGGAAGCCATTTCGTGTGACAACCTGTACAGTCAACTCTCGGAAATTTGAAGCAGGGTCTTCATTCTAGCTTAGGTTAGTTGGATGGTTCTGGCGCTCTGTGGGAAAAAAATGTGCAGTAATTCCAAGCTGCTCCTCTAAGTCTGGTCAATTAAAAAACTTTATTTTTTGTTTTGTACTCCAGGTTTTGAGCAATTCTGAGAGCATGAAAAAAAAAACCTTTCACGATTATGCAGACTATGCCTAAAACTATTGCTTCATATACTGTTTGTGTGGTCAGGAAAAGGGTTAACAAGTGCAGCTCCTTTCATCCGCTTAGCACGCTCCCTTAGCACGCTCCCTTGGCACGTTCCCTTGGCACGTTCCCTTGGCACGTTCCCTTGGCACGTTCCCTTGGCACGTTCCCTTGGCACGCTCCCTTGGCACGCTCCCTTGGCACGCTCCCTTGGCACGCTCCCTTGGCACGCTCCCTTGGCACGGCACGCTCCCTTGGCACGCTGCCTTGGCACGCTGCCTTGGCATAGATGCGCATGCAAACTGCCATGGAGGATGCTCCCAGACAGATTAGTGTCCGGTGGGGCAGTTTGCATGCAAGTCTATGGGAAGGGGCTCCGCTAAGCAGACGGAGCCACTTCCTTCCACATGTCAAGCGTGGCAGCATGAGTGTGTTATGGTGCGATCGCGGGGCATTGTAGCTGTGGTCTCTGCACCATTCCTATGAAATCCATGAACAGTGTGGCCATGTGGAACGCACGGCCAACAAAGCTGTGGGCTTCAGAAATTGCGCAGCCCTCGCAGTGAGCTGATCAAATGCACCATGGTGTGGTCTCATTTTGGATAGTGAAATCTTGTGGGTGGTTACGCTTAATGACCGTTGTCACTTTCTGTGCTGAGTACCAATGAGGCTCACAGCCACTGCATTGGTCGTCACGGCGATGATGCCGTTAGATATGTTCATGTCTTGCAGGCATGCCTATCGTGACTCAGGGCTCCATATTGGGATTACTGAATAAACCCAATTTATGATCTGAGTGCCTATTTTTTTGTTAATTCAAAGTTATTTAATGCCTTTTTCTCTCCTTGTGTGTTTACATTATTGAGTCGACCTGTATGTCATTCATGTATTCATATCTGTATGAAAAAAATGTGGCTCCTTCTTTGTCGGGCATCATGCTTGAAAGGATCTGATCACGTCGACATGATGCACTACTTATTCTTTTCAGGATGAGCGGAAAAGGATAGAAGATCTTGGAGGCATGGTAGTCATGATGGGCATCTGGAGGGTCAATGGAAGCTTGGCTGTTTCTAGGGCCATTGGTATGCAAACCTCACAATTTGTCTTCTGCAGCATGTCAGCTTTTGAAGTGCATGCATCTTATTTGTTCTTTTTCAGTACATTCCTGGCAATACACTGGTAGTTTTGTTTGCACATTTTGCACATTCAACATACAGTCTGTTTCTTTGTATTTTGGATCAATTGGAATATTTTCATATTTTTATTAGTGTGAATCCAACAATTGGAAAACTGCCCATGTTTTGTAGAACAGATTCACATGTATTCGTTAATTCCTTAAAAGGGGAATTTAAGCTTGTTGCATAGACTGGTAATGTTTTGCTGCTTCCCAGGTGAAAATTTCCAACTGGTGGCTGTTGTGTAACCAGTGCCCGAAGCAACTTCCCTTCAAATCCTAAAAAGTTCTTCTAGATCACCATTTAATGCTATGGGACCAGGTGTTTGCCTGGTCATTGATTTGTTATCATTTTTTGTTGCAAATTATAATGGTGGTGGTCTGATGGCAGCGAGGGATGGGCAACGCCTCATCTCACGGTTGCCAACCATTGCTAGATTGTCTCTTCGCTGTCCTTGTTTGACTGACCGATCAGTTCCTAGGAGAAAGCCTAGACGTCTCTCATTTTGATACTTGCACAACAGAGAACAGAATTTCCGTGCAACTTCCAGGTGATGCAGAGCACAAGCCCTACGTCATCAGCGAGCCCGACGTGCTGTCTGTGGAACTGGACGGCAGCGAGGACTTCCTGGTCCTTGGCTGCGACGGCCTCTGGGACCAGCTAATGCCCCAGGACGTCGCGAACCGCGTCTACCAGGCAGTCCTCGATGACCCGGATGGCGCCCCTTACGTGTCCCACGCGCTGGTGCAGGGAGCACGCGACCTTGGCTCTGGCGACAACATTACTGCCATTGTGGTGTTCCTGCGCGACCCCCACACCTTCGACGCAGCTGCTCTCAGCCAGGCTGTGTCCTGCCCTGCCTTGGAAAAGACTGCCGTGAGCGAGCTGCCCACACCGCCCGTTGGGGACTCTGGAAACGTCTTTGACGATCCCTCGGACGATCTGGTACAGGTGGCAACGGGCGTGGTCCGCGAAACGATTGAGACCGCTCTGCACCGCGTCAACGACGATGCGGCTGCAGCACGCGACATCGTTGAACAGGTGCATCAGATGCACTCGGAGCAGGAGGTGGGCAAGTTCACAGATTTGCCGGAGCACTTCTACGGCGCTGCACCCGTGGAGAAAAGCGGCGATGATGATGTTGTGGGTCCTGCCAACGGCTTTCTTGGTAACACCGTTGATTCGCCAGGTGGCCGGAGGAACCCGTTTGAGGACGAAGGTTACGAGCATGACGTCGATGTAGCCAGTGATATGAACCACGTGGAAGAATCTCGTGCAGAACTCTATGCAAAATTGAATGTTGCCGAGAGTGGAAGTGGGTTTCCGGCAGAAGATCGGGAGCCCCACGCTGAATTTCAGATGCCAGATGGGCATAGTGTTGTGGAGGGGACCCTTAATGTCGATCAGTCTTCTGCAAGAGACGGTTCACCCGCAGCAATGCAGGAAGGGTTTTACGACGAAATGTTTCAGTTTAGTGCACCCAATCCCCTCCAGCACAATGCGGATGCACTGGCACACGTAGCCGAGAACTGTGCAAGTAATACCCTCGAGCAACCCACCAGCTTCCAGGAGCACGAGTACCCAGACAATAGTGCACCCGATCCTTTCCAGCACAATGTGGATGCACTGGCACACGTAGCCGAGAGCTGTGCAAGTAATACCCTTGAGCAACCCACCAGCTTCCAGGAGCATGAGTATCCTGACGAAGGGGTAGATGTCGGTCATGTGCCAGAAGAACTCCAAGAGCAAGTGTCTGCTCTGGCTGAACAGTTTACAGAGGGGGCATCTGATCAGCACGTTGTTCCAGCGGTGCCAGTGGATCTGTGTTCAGATGTTGACCAGAACATTGGTGCCATCCCTGAAGACCAACATGCTCAACATTCTTCATTATTTGAGACAAACTTTGGGCATGCCAAAGAGGCAGCAGAGCCCCAGACAGATTTCTTTGGCCAGCAGTTGTCACCAAAGACATTCAATGTCCTCCCAGAAGGAGACCAGGTTCAGTACGTCTCTCCAGAACACTTTAGCTATGTCACTGGTGAGAAAGAACTCTCCAGTAGTCCTAACTTGCACCAGCAGATGAGTGTTCTCTCCGACGATCTGGTGTCCATTGACTTGAATGCCTCTGCCACTCAGTCACTCTCTGATGCTGTGGCAGTGGACATTGCTGGACAGGTCGAGCAAGGAGCTGAAGCACCTTGCCAGGTGGAGCCCCAGGAGCCGCATCAGAATATTTTGACTGCAAGTATACCAGAGGCTGAAGAAGCACACCCCCATGCAGCTGGAGAGGTTTCTGAAAACCTTGGCATTGAAGATGCTGAAGACCTTTCTCCGGCTGGTTCAGCGGAGTCTGTGGTCGAAAAGGTGGCTGCTGAAGCCCAGCAAGAAAGTGCAGTTGTATTTTGTCAACTGAAGGAAACTCCAGTTTCCAATGAACAAAATTTGTTTGGTGAAAGCCAGTTAAATGAAACTCCAGTTTCTGAACAGAATTTGCTCGGTAAAATCCAGTTAAGGGAAAACATTGAGGAACCAGTGGACAATCAAACTGCAGCCTTTACTTCACAGCCTCCGCTTCATTTTGCAACAGAGCCGTGGGAGGGCAAAGAGTCTGCTGTGGATGACCCACACGACAATCTTGGAGATTTTGGAGCAAGTAACTTTTATGCAGACCGTCCGTCCACTCTTTCAGCTGTCCCCGAAGATCTTCACAACTTTTTGATGAGCCAGCAGCTTGCTCAGAGTATACTTGAAAGGAGTGAGGAAACTAAATCCCCCAAGAGTGAAGCTACCCAGCTGCCAGAGCCAACTGCCGATTCTCAAAAATCCACACATGTGGCTGATGCTCGGGCAACCGTCCAAGAACCTGCAGATTTTGATTCCTCATCTGTGCAAACTCCAGAACATGTATTGTCCAGCAAAAGACTGTCCCCTGAAGCCTCCATTCCCTCGGGTTTGGAATGCACAGTAGCTGTTGAGCAAAGTTCGGAAACTAAGCCAGAGACTATGCAAGTGTCGTTGGAGGAAGTGCAGCGTTCAAAAGATGATCAAAGCAGCCTCACTGAAAGCAGTAACGTGAAGCCTGTCTCTGAAGAACCCTCTGCGCCCGTAGACTTGGGCAAGATTCCAGAGAACATTCCCGAGGCAGATGGAGTAACCGAAGACTCTGATTCTGAAAAAGATGGCGGCTGGCGCTTTGTTAAGCCGGCCGAATCCGCCAAGAAGCCGACGGAGCAGGCTGAGGCGGCACCAAAGATGACTGAGGCGGCACTGAAGCAGGTTGAAGTGGCACCGAAGCAGGATGAGGTGTCATCGAAAAAGAGCGAGATGTCGTCAAAACCAAGCACCCTCGCAGCAGCAAAACGTAAATCATTGGCAGGAACACCCAAGACGGGCACCACACAACCACCAACCAAGAGGCCGTCGTCGGCTGCCAAGCCGCCGGCTGCATCAAAAAGTGCGAGCCCCAGTGCAACTGTGTCTATGGCTGCATCAAAGAGTGCGAGTCCCAGTACGGCCACGTCCACAGCAGGCAAGAAAGAGAGTACCGTACCCAGCAAGTTGCAACCATCGTTGGCCAAGGCAGCAACTGCAGGAACAACCACACTTGCTGCACCTCGAAAGCCACTTGTGCCATCCACAAGGCCTGCAGCTACGAAGGCTCCCCTCGCACCCAAAGCAAAGCCCGCGCCAATTTCGACACTGAGGGCAAAGCCCACAGCTCCACTTGCAACAAAAAGTGCAACTGCAGTGGCAGAGAAGAAAACAGCGGCACCAGCGCGACCTTCAGTGACCAAGACCGCTCCCAAGCCCTCTGCTGCCCCTGCATCTGCAGCAACCAGGGCCACCTCAAGTGCTGCTACGAGCCGGCCGACTGCAACAGCAAGAACTGGCACGACATCTAAAGCTACAAGCACCCTTACCAAGAAAACTGTGGACACGACGGCACCAAGAACTGCAGCAACGCGGCCTGCTGCAGCAGTACGAGACACTAAGCTAAGCAAGGAGGCAACGAACCAGCAGCTGTCTGGAGCCAAGAAGCCTCTTGGCACTGCACCGAGCAAGACTGCCACTACCAGGCCCACAACATCAACTCTTAGAAATGTTGCAGCCACGAAGGCCCCTGCTGCAAAAGTGCCTGCTCCGAAGACCTCGGCAGCAAGAGCTGTCCCCAAGCTTGGACCGGGAATCAAGAAGAGTGGTGCCGAAGAACTCGAGGCAAAGAACGACGGCAAGCAGAACGGTGTCCCAGAGGAGAAAGGGAGCCTGGAGCAGAATGACAAGGAACAGTCTACTTGCCCGGTGCCACCACTGAGCAACGGCCACCCCAGTGACTCCGGGGCCGGAGATGCCACGGCAATCAAGTCTAACCTCTTGGATCCCATGGACGTTTCTCCAGCTGAAATATAACTCTGCTCGAAATTCCCACCTAGTCATTCTGCTCTCTGCTAGCAAACAAGTATTCAGTTTCCTTTGGTACCTGCACAAACTATGGTCTTTCGGGGAACTTTCGGTCATGTTTCCACCACTGCTGCGACTCCTTCCTTTTTTTTATTCCGGTGCAGGTAACCAGTGTTTTTATGTAGTATTATGCCTGACCGCTAGCTGTGACGCACAAACGGTGGTCATGCTGTGCTGCCAACAAAGTGTAGCAGGGGTCGGTCCCCAAAACACAATGGATGCCCGGTGCAGGGAAAAGTGCTCTTCCAGGGTGGGTTCCCACCTTTGCCTGCTACGCGGCGTCGGCAGTGTGAAGTGACCGCCGTTTGTGTCCTTTTAAGGGACAACACTGCTTTTAGAGCTTTTTCTTTTCTTTTTTTTTTATATAACTTGCAGTTCAACTTGAATGAAATTTGCACATTTTATCCCTCCCAGGCCTTTACTCCCCCTTTGTGCACCATGGTCTGCAGTTTTGATAAGTGAACACCAAAGACTGCGAGATTTCCTCCGTCTGAATGCTGCTGAAGTTCATGCTTTGCTCTTCCAGAAGTGCTCTTTTTTACTTTTATCGTCTTACTTGTAGCTATACCACCACCACACTGGGCAGAGCGATCTGGGGATTTGTACTTTTTTATACGCAATACTGCAGCCCCTGGTATTATTTATTTGAAGTAAAGTGTCCTTAATGTTTTTTTCCCTTTTTGGATGTTCCCGGTCCCGTTTCGCTTGGGCTTACACAAAGCAACCTGCATTTGGGAGGTGGCAGACTCCGGCCTGTCTTTTGATAGTACTTTTTGGGGTTTCATGACTAACTGGATGCTTTCGAATATCCCGAGTCTGTGTCTATTTTTATGTAGCTTTTGAAATATGCTGCTGCATTGTTTTAGGGTTGCTGTTTTGATAATGCATATGTGCTCTCCCGGAATAAAATTTTTTATAAAGGGACTTTCGTTTTTGTCAGTGGTTTCATGGTAATTTATTTTGTTAATTTGCATGCCATATGGATACACTACAAGGTATGCAGCACTGCAAAGTTGCACTGAACAAACATGTAAACGGTTACTGAAGACGATATGGTAGACAAGAAAAGAACAGTACATAAATGTGAAAGAGCAGACTAGCAACTGTTTATTTTCAGTGTTTTTCTTCTTATCAGATACCAAAATTTTGAAAAACTAAGATTTGCCAGGTAATTCTTAGAGTTAGACTGGATGATCAATGTTATTGCAGGCAATTGTTGACACCGGTATTTTGGAAGACTCTAATGGTGGAGTTCTGGAAGAAAAATATGTATCGGAGATCTTGGAACTAAGTAGGTGAGCACAAATATGCATGCAGGTAGTTGCAAGCACCTGATAATCTTGTAGCTGTAGGATGTAGCTGCGAAGCTACGCTTGGAACTACCATCTTATGGTATATTCGGGTGGTCACTTTCGAGCACTCCAATCATTCGAGTCGTAGCTACCAGATCCCGGAGCGCCTCCGCATCGGAGCGAGAGAATCGGCGCGCCCAGCCGAACGCTCTTCAACTTTTCAGAGCGGCAAGCCGAGCGGATAGAGGGTGGCGTGCGCCACTACAGGACGGCGCGAGCCGCCCTCTAGCGGAGCTTTTGCTCTTTGGATTCAAAGGGTTGAGCAGTATTCAGTGATCCATCCATCCGTAAATCCTTGAAAAATGGCAACCGTCAACGCGGACGCTGATAAGGTCATCGCAAGTCAGCCGTGCCAAGCGGAAGTTCCTGCGAAACTATAAAAAAAAGACAACATTACAGCTTCAAAACTCTCGTAGTTTTGTACTTACCGCTTTGTTCCGAGTAGGTTCGCCCTATAAAAACATAGGCTTTGACCTTGGGCACCGTACAAGGCAACCTTGGTACAAGGCAACGTTGGTACAAGACAACGTTAGGTACAAGGTGCGTCAAACAACTCGGCAAACTTCGCTTCGCAAACACGGTCCTCGTCGTCGTAGTCCGAGCTGCTGGTGTTGTTGCTGTCTGCTAGCTTCGCCAGCAGCACTGGCGGTGCCACCACTAACATTAAACGTCTTCGTTTCAACGACATTTTACCTCAATTCGGGGAGCACAACACAACGGTGACGGCGTCGAGACTGACGGCTGTTTTTCGCAGCCCTCTTTTTGCGGAGTAGCTGCGTTCTCGCCGTCCGCTTCCGGCACAAAAGCAAAATGGCGGAATGGCTGGAGTCACGTGACCGGTCGGCAGCCAGATCTCTCGCGCGACGCGCGCTCCCACTTCCAAGGGGGCTAAGCTCGGCTCGGAGGGAGAGAGAGAGAGAGAGAAAATGAACGTCGTTCATGTCAAACACATTGGCGTGGTTTAAATACCTATGCCGACGGCAAAACACGAACGAAAACGCTGCCATTTTGGACGCTTCTCCCTGTTCTCGCGCCCAACTCGCCCAAACTCGCCTAGGTCGGAGCCGGCAAGCTTTTCCCATCCGCGGCGGCTTCTGCCACGTCACAATGACGTCACCGCATCTCGCCGCGAGTTCCGAATATGCAACTCTCCGACTGCCTCAAACCCTCCGTTTAACGTCACGATCTAGGGAGTGTCGGCGCGTGTCGTCATGCACGGCGCCGACCAATCGCGGCGGTCGGCGAGTTTGGCGGAGAACTCGCCTCGATCTCGCCGCGCCGAGCTTAGCCCGCTAAGCCGACCAATCGCGGCGGTCGGCGAGTTTGGCGGAGAACTCGCCTCGATCTCGCCGCGCCGAGCTTAGCCCGCTAAGCTCGGCGCGGCGAGATCGAGGCGAGTTCTCCGCCAAACTCGCCGACCGCCGCGATTGGTCGGCGCCGTGCATGACGACACGCGCCGACACTCCCTAGATCGTGACGTTAAACGGAGGGTTTGAGGCAGTCGGAGAGTTGCATATTCGGAACTCGCGGCGAGATGCGGTGACGTCATTGTGACGTGGCAGAAGCCGCCGCGGATGGGAAAAGCTTGCCGGCTCCGACCTAGGCGAGTTTGGGCGAGTTGGGCGCGAGAACAGGGAGAAGCGTCCAAAATGGCAGCGTTTTCGTTCGTGTTTTGCCGTCGGCATAGGTATTTAAACCACGCCAATGTGTTTGACATGAACGACGTTCATTTTCAACAACACTATCGCCTCTCGAAAGACGTGGTAAGGTGGCTGTGCGATGAACTGCGTGGCGAACCGGGCTTGAGGCGATGGAGCCGTGAATGAACCGTCGCCCCCGTCGTGAATCCTACATCCAAATTCTACAAAGTGAATCCTAGAAACAAATGTGTTTTTACGGCAATCTGCAACCAGGAACGCAATTTACCATTACCTACAGGCTTTTACAATTATTTTGAAGGGTTGCTGTGCTGCGTAGATGCAAGATAAACGCACTTGATAAAATTCAAACAAAAACAGATGATAGAAGAAAAGCAATATACATGAATGGCGCAGACTAATAACTGTGTAATTTCTTTCTCATCTTTCTTCTTCGACACCGTATTTTGACAAACAAATTGACCGTTAGTTGTTTATACAGCAGGAGAACATGCCAGAACATTGCGACATTGTCACCTACTGTAGATAAGCAATTTAGCCGGTGCAGTATGACTGCTAGCCTAGGGTCTTTAAATTAACAAATTAGTCGTTAGTTGTTTATACAGCAGGAGTTTAGTCTGCCAGAACATGGCGACATTGTTACCCACTGTAGATGAGCAATTTAGCCAGTGCGGTACAACCGCTAGCCTGGGGTCTTTAACGTGCACCACGTAGTAGTGATACACGACCGCATGCCGGTACGATGCTCATCGACATCGAAAAGGGCAGGGGTGGGGGTGAATCCACGATCCTGGGTTCTGCAGCGCGAGCTTTCACTCCACGTGCGCCCTATTCTAAAAAAAAAAAAAAAAAAAAAAAAAAGATATTGTGGTTGTGTGGGGGGAGAAAGATGAGAAAGAAATTACACAGTTGTTAGTCTGCTCCATTCCTGTATGTTGTTTTTCGTCTATACTTTGCTTTAGTTTACATCTTTATCAAGAGCGTTTTTCTTGCATCTACGTGGCGCAGCAAACCATCACAATGTCTAGTCAACTAGCCCACATCCAAGCAATGTTTGTATAATTAGCATCCCTGCTATTACCTATTCTTATTTGTCATTTACGATTTAAATAAAAAAAAATTGGGCTGTATGTATGTTGATACTGCCTAAAACTTGGTCTGCCTCAACGGGGAAGATTCTCCCAGCTGTAGATGAGAAATTTAGCCATGCAGTACCGTACAACCGCTAGCCTGGGGTCTTTAACGTCCATCCCACAGTAGTGTTACACGACTGCACGCCGGTACGATGCTCATCAACATTGAAACGGGCAGGGTTGGAGATTGAACCCAGCATCCTGGGTTCTGCAACGGACCTTTCGCTCGACGTGCTCCGAGCTTGTGTGCGCTAGCCCAGCCGGCCACCGATCCCCCGATTTAAATAAAATAAAAACCCTTCACTGCGGAGCGTAGGGAAAAATCGGAGCTACGCTGGGGAACTCGCCGCCGCCGGGGGTGTCGGAAATGTAAGAGGGGGAGTGGGAAACTCGCCGGGGCGGAGTCAAAAGAAGCTCCTCCCCTCCCTCGTGACGTGGCATCGGAGAGATTCCCGCCGGAGGCGAGCTTAGCCCCCGCTTAGCTTAGCAATCACGGCGAGTTCTCCACCGAACTCGCCGTGATTGGTCGGCGCCGTGCATGATGACACGCGCCGTCACTCCCTAGATCGTGACGTCAGAACGGAGGGTTTGAGGCGGTCGGAGAGTGGCATATTTGGAACTCACGGCGAGATGCTGTGACGTCATTCTGACGTGGCAAAAGCCGCCGCGGATAGGAAAAGCTTGCCGGCTCCGACCTAGGCGAGTTTGGGCGAGTTGGGCGCGAGATGAGGGAGGCGCGTACAAAATGGCAGCGTTTTTGTGCGTGTTTCGCCGTCGGTGTAGGTACTTAAGCCACGCCACTGTGTTTGACATAGACGACGTTGATTTTCAACAACACTATCGCCTCCCGAAATACGTGGTAAGGTGGCTGTGCGATGAACTGCGTGGCGAACTGGGCTTGAGGCGATGGAGCCGTGAATGAACCGGCGTCCCCGTCGTAAAACCTACAAATTCTACGAAGCGAATCCTAGAAACAAATGTGTTTTTACGGCAATCTGCAACCAGGAACGCAATTTATCATTACCTACAGGCTTTTACAATTATTGTGATGGTTTGCTGCGCTGCGTAGATGCAAGAGAAACGCACTTGATAAGATTTAAACTAAAAGAGGAGAGAAGAAAAGTAATCTACATGAATGGCGCAGACTAACAACTGTGTAATTTCTTTCTCATCTTTCTCCCTCCACAGCGTATTTTGACGAACAAATCGGTCGTTGTTTATACGGCAGAACATGCCAGAACATGGCGACATTGTTGCCTGTAAATAAGCGATTTAGCCAGTGCGGTACGACCGCTAGCCTGGGGTCTTTAACGTGCACCACGCAGTAGTGATACACGACGGCACGCCGGTGCGATGCCGTCGTGGGCAGGAGTGGGGATTGAACCCAGGCCCCTAGGTTCTGCAGCGCGAGCTTTCGCTCCACGTGCACCCTTTTCTGGAAAACATTGTGGCTGTGTGGCGACGGGGGGGGGGGGGGGGGGGGGAGGGGAGGGGAGGGAGGGGAGGGAGGAGGGAGGGGGGGGAGGGGAGGGGAGGGGAGGGAGGGAGAAAGATGAGAAAGAAATTACACAGTTGTTAGTCTGCGTCATTCCTGTATGTTGTTTTTCGCCTATTCTCTGCTTTAGTTTAAATCTTTATGAAGTGCGTTTTTCTTGCACCTACGCAGCGCAGCAAACCATCACAATGTCTAACCCCCTAGCCCATATCCAAGCAATATTTGTATAATTAGGATCCGTGTTGTTACCGATTCTTATGTCATTTACGATTTAAATTTAAAAAAA